TGCCAGATGGTCCATTGAAAAGAGGTTAACTAATTAATACCACACATTCTGGCTTCTCAACCACTAGCTTTTTTTCCCCTAAAGTATCCCACTAAAGGAAGTATGTAGGAAAAGGGAGGGGATCTGTCTGATTTTCCAGCCATTTTGACAGGAAACGGTAGAGTAAATACAGGTGATAGTGTATATATAGCAGCACCCTGACTCTGTTTGACCTGAATGTTTTTTTTAAAGTGTCTGCAGCACTTTAACTCTGGTTGCCCCTGCTCTGTTCATTCTGATTTACATTTTAGACTCCGAGCATCCAAAGCGGGATGAGTCATTGTTGTAGACGGAAGCAAAACTTTTCTGCTCAGTTGCTTGCTCCTTATTTGAAGTGTCTGAGCAGTGAACACTGTCAGCAGCTTGTGATTAGTGAACATACAGTATCTTTCCTCATAATGATCGTTGTGCATCCCAGCAGAGCTTTAAAGCTTTAAAGTGATGCAGATATTTCTAAGGAAACGTGATTTTTTAAGCGAATTGATAATAACTGAATAACGTTTTTTCTCTCTCTCTTTGCAGAGTGTGGATACAGATGAAAGAGGCCATATTATTGTGGATGAGTTTCAGAACACCAGCCGAGCAGGGATCTACGCTGTAGGAGACGTTTGTGGCAAAGCTCTTCTCACACCTGGTACGAAGTTGACCTAATGACTCAAATAATTTTACTGATGTTGGTTTAAAAACTATATTGTCATGTTTATATTCAAACTTAACCAGTACGGGTGTTTGTCATAAAAATATCAGCCTTCAAAAGTGTATTTTCATATTGGTAGGGTCCAACTTATTCAAGTCTGATGCAGAAGGATGGACTTTACAGTGCAGGAGGAGGCATCTTGTGTCCAGCAGGAAAACTTTAGAAATTAACTAAATTTAAATATTGATAGATTATGGGATTTTTAATGAGGTAGAAGGAGTTATTCAAGATTCAAGAAGAAGCTTTATTTATCCCAAGGGAAATTACTGTGCAACAGTTTCAATACAAAGGTGGTAAAGTAAAGTACTACAGGGTTAGAGTAAAAATAAGCTAAAATTAAATTAAATTAAATGAAATAAAATTAAATTAAAATAAAGGATAACATAAAATAAATCAAACAATTAACTAAATGCAACAAAATGCAAGCACTTACAGGTAATATAAGTAGAAAAGAAGAAAACAAGTAACTGAATGGGACAAAGTGCAACAAAAATTGCAGTTAAACGTAGGTACAGTATATACAACAATACGCACCGTGCAAGCAACTGTTGCTGGCTGCCACTCAACACAGCACCGGAAATTTAAATGAATAAATGAATGAAATGTAATCTAATGTAGTGTAATGAATAAATATTTAGTGTCTATCAGAGGCAAGATCTGTGTTAAATATTTAAAAAATCACATGTAAACGCTTCCAAATGGCTGCACTGAAATTGTCAGCAAATTCAGGTGAAGGTCCTCACCCAATCACAGGAACCCTAGGAAAATAATGTTTTTGTCAGGTTGCTGTTGTGTACAGTCTCAGTTAGGCTGTATGAAGCTCAATAAACTAAATGCATATAAACAACAAAGCAGCTGTGGCTTAGGGCCATAAAAACATGGCGGCCTGGTTGAAGTTCCAAAAATTCATCCAGACCCTGATTTGACCGCAAATCTCAGTTTTAAAAAACACTAAAAATGTAATGTCTATATCTGTACTGGTTTTATTTAAGCACTAAATCATTGATAAAAATATGTCATTTTCCTCCACAATACTTAGGTGCAGCCATCTGTTACAGATAATATCTGTAGTTACGGTTTACAACAGCCTAAGATATTTGCTAAGAGATAATCTTTCATGAACACATTAGTCAAACATTGAAGTTGTTCTTTATACTACAGACGTTTAGAGCTCTTCAGACTTTTTTCCCCTTCTCCATGCACCATAAGGAAGTAGGTGAAATCCCTACTCTCTCTACATTGCCAAATATGGCAACAGCAGTGCTTTGTACTTATTATTCTGGTTTTAGAATAAAGCGTTTTATCCCAGTATGTTTTCTTAGGACTTTACTTTTATTGAGAGTCTGATGTTATGTTGCATGTTGGGACAGTTGCCATTGCTGCAGGCAGGAAGCTGGCACACAGACTGTTTGAAGGCAAGAAGGACTCCAAGTTGGACTACTCTACTATCCCCACAGTGGTGTTCAGCCACCCACCTATCGGGACTGTGGGCCTCACAGAAGGTGAGTGATAGCTTCCCGTTGTCCAGTGTTGCCTCATAGATAGAATCAAAATCATGACCCTCTACATCCTGTTACTTACTCTGGACGAAAGTGTCAGCTAAGCCAAGTTTTGCTCAGTAGGACAAAAGTTCAAATGCTTAACCTTCATGTGTTTGTCACAGAGGAGGCCATTAAATCTAGAGGAAAGGAGAATGTGAAGATCTACAAGACTTCTTTCACTCCAATGTATCACGCCATCACGAGCAGGAAGAGTCAGTGCATCATGAAGCTGGTGTGTGTGGGCAAGGAGGAGAAGGTAGGAGTCATCTGTTCTCCAGATTACAGCTCTTTACAGTTCATGAAGAAATTATTTTTTTGCCTTAAGAATTGTATTTAAATCTTTTGAATGTATTGAAATAGTATTTATTAATACTAATTAAAACGACCAACTATTACTGTCATTGTTTGTTAAGGTAAACATCACTTAGACTTATATGACAGTGTAAGAAAAGGAAAACCTGCTTAAAAACCTAAATATGGTACTTGAATTGATCAAAGGATGAATCCTCTCTTAAAAAGAGAAACACCTTTATCTATTGGTAGGATGAGGTTTAAAAATCTGATTCCATGCACTCAAGTGCTATAAGATGGCTACATATCTGCTAATGCATTATGAAAACACACCTGCTCTATCAGTCCTCATCAATGACACCATGAACCCAAGATAGTTGGTCTAATTGAACCCAGTGCCTGTGGGCTACTTTAGACTCTCTACACCATGTCAAATTCTGTGCATTAATGACATACACATAAAAATGACATAATAAAAGGCATTTAGTTTAATTGTGGTGCTCAGTTTTTGGTGTTCAGTATACTTTTGTCTTTTCCTAAGCAGCAAGGCTTAGACAAAATGGAGTTAGATATAAGACATCACCAGCAAATATTGAAACCAAAATACAAAAGCTTCAGTCCATTTACCACCAAATACTGTAATTAGCACTCGAGCAGAGAAATCCATACATCATGGTCACAACGCAGAGAGAGAGCAAGAGAAGCCTGACGTGCCTAGAATGCAGCATACCCACACAATGCATCAGATTTTGGGTACGGGGTGTGTCTTCACATTTCTTAACCAGGATTATCTGTCCTACTCTCACTATGTTGAAATCACAGTTGTTATTTTCCACCTGTACATGTTTTGTAAACCACAGCTGACATCAACACGTTCACATCCAGTCTCTGAAGGTTCTTGACTGTCATTCTGGTAAATGTAGGAAGTCAGCTTACTGAGGTAGAAAAGGCTGAATTGTCTCTTTTCCGCAGGTGGTGGGCCTGCACATGCAGGGCCTGGGGTGTGATGAGATGCTGCAGGGCTTCGCTGTGGCCATCAAAATGGGTGCGACCAAAGCAGACTTTGACAAGACTATTGCCATCCACCCCACCTCATCTGAGGAGTTTGTCACGATGCGTTAATGCATACACAAACCCGCCCCCCTACCTTGCTTCCCTATACAATCAGAAACCCAGACCAGCATACCAGGACAGAGTTACTCCTCCGTACTACTCACGCATCAGCTTGACGACTTGCTTTCTAAAACTACATGCTTCCATTTTCTCTCATATAAGTGACCTTGTTTGTGCGCAGTGTTTTCATTTTTACTCCTTTTTACCTAAATGGACCAAGACCGAGTTATGGCCTTCTTAAACTGTACTGTGGGTCTTGATTATTATTGATTGAATATTCCGGATTCCATTTTAATGATTGTGAAATGGAAGTGATGGATCTGCAGGTATTCTTGTCAAGTGATCGCACGGGAAGTCAAAAGACCTCTCTCCTAGTGTATGTGTTTGATTTGTGAGTCATTCACTGCTGCTCCTTAAGGTACCTATTTACTACCAATGCAAGGTCATAACATATCTACTGTACTGTTCTACAGATTCAATAAACCTGCAGGTTTTTTCTTAAGTGGTGTGATACCTTTTTCTTCCTTCTGTGACTGTTGTAACTCTGTTTTCCGCACTGGTGCACTTCCCCATCTTCGCTCACAATTGACATGTGTTGGGCAATGAATGAAGTACTTCTTATATTTAGACAGAGGGAGCTGTATTCCTGCTCATACATACAGTAAATGGGTCTGCCAAGTCAAAATGTGCGATAACAACTTTGCATTTAGGATCAGATTGCATCAATGGTGAGCAGTGATGAAACTGAACAATGTTTCTTTTTAGTTGCAAACTGCTTCATCACAATACAGTTTAGAAGGTAATATTGTACTTTTAGTAGAGTTATTTTCCAACTAGATTTCATAATTATGCCTACAAAACATTAATTGTTCATAAAATAACAGATAATAAACAAATAATAGACCAACAGGATGTAAAATAGTAAATAATAATAAATAAATAATAGAAATGTACTCTATGCCAACCATTTATACAATAATGTAGTTTAGATGTTAATCATTAACAGTTACAATGTACACTCTGCTGTAAAGCTAATTAGTATTTTTTTTACAATGTGGATTACTTTATGCAGGTCTCATATAATGGATTGTTTTTATGTTGTGGTTTTGCCCCTTTCCAAGTGTAGTATATTAATTTTTAGAATTTTTAAAATAAAATGATGTACTCTCTTCCTGTGGCCCCAGAATAACCTTTCTTATTAACTGTATGTGATGTAGTTTGACGTTAACAGGAGCCTTATAACAAGACATGAACATAAAGTGACCTTGTTTACACAGCGGTTTATTAAATATCGCGATACACGTTGTCATGACACCGACACCGGTCACACTCTCGCGAGAAGACTTACCTCCGGGTCACGGGTCACGTGTGGCGGTTGCCGTTCTCGTCAGTTTACTCATAGATTCTCAAAATGGATCCAGAACGAACATCACCATAGAAAGGTACTGGCTCTCCTCAAACGTGTTATCTGTACATATAGACAGCTGCTCTTTGTTAGTGTACATTAAAGGTTACACAGCACTTGTTACGGCGGATAACGACGTTAGCTCACTGCTAGCTAGCTAACTAATAGCTAGGTTAGCCAAGTGTGTGGCTCCGTAGCCACCGGCGTCGGTAACTTAACGTTAGTTCTGTTGTTGACCGGCGAGTTGATTATCAATGACAGCCTTTTCAGTGACACACAAATATCAGCGGTGCGAAACATTTGAGCTTTGTTTGTAGCCATGCTAACGTTGCTGCTTGGTAAAAGTGTCAGAAGAGGCGGTGTCTTGGCGTTAATCTGTTTGAATTGGGTTAGATTGACTAGCTGACTGCTAAACATAACAGTGACTGGGCTATCTGTGACTCCGCATAGCAACTTCCTGCACTTCAGTACCGAGCCCCGCTACAGCGAGGATGTTCCCCAGCCTGGCCCACAGACCATGGCATGTCTTCTGCAGGGTGTCGTTGCAGCACAGGTCGCCCCTGTCACAGCGGTCCCCGAGGTTCCCCCAGCTGTGCTACGGTGAGCAGTGTTATTACATTACAGCTCTTACATATTACGACTCTTGAGCCGCAGAGCTGGGTTATTAAACTGTGCAACAGAAGGAATAAACTACTGTCACACATTGTGTTGCACAGGGTCGCAGAGTGGAGGCATACATAGCTTGTGGTTCAGCCTTCCGGACTGCCGTGTTGCCTTTCTAGGGCTGGGCAAGGTGCAGTACTACTCTACCTCTGGTGACAGTAAAGATGGTCCTCCAAAATCAGCATCAGCTGAGGCTCCATCGGCAGAAGGGGTCTTGTCTGCTGCTGTGAAAGCCGCCCCAGCTTTATCAGGTGACAAACATGTGTTTGTGTCTTGGCATTTTGTGTGGCACTGTGTTGTGTACATTGATGTTTATGATTTTTTTTTGTTTATGACTCTTTTAAAACTGTTGTCCTGTCACCACAAGAACTGGGAAATAGTTCTGGTAAGTTGATATGTTGAGGATAATTCCTTCTCCCAGAGGAATGTTGCTTTAGTTACTACTCTAACTAAATACAATATTTGCTCTCATAGGGTCCATACCTAAGGGGCTTACTAAAGCTGAGACTATTCAAGTCAAAGGTAATAAACAACATTTGTGCATGCTTCACTTTTTTAAATAAGACTTGCTGCCTTACTCTTGATTTAAATAGTATTTTTAGTATCTTTTAAACTGTGTGGTTTTGAATCATAATTTGTTGTCATGTGCAGTTCGGGCAGTCCTGAAGAAAAGGGAATATGGAGCCAAGTACACTCAGAACAACTTTATCACTGCAGTCAGAGCCATGAACGAGTTCTGCCTCAAACCAAGGTAACTTCTGCTCCCCATACTAGTTGCTATGGTTCATTTATGTAATACATACAGCAACACCAAACTGTATCTCATCATTGCGAAGTTCATTTAATGGTACTGAATGTTTATTTGTCTGTTCAGTGCTAGCTTAGGTGGCAGACTACAACCACAACACAAATTCCTTTCAGTTAATAAGTAAACATGCTGATGTGATTAGCTGATCTAAGACTGCCTAACATTGTTTTACACAGGTCTTCCTAAATTTTACCCCCCCTCATGTGTCCACAGTGATTTGGAACAGCTTCGGAAGATCAGAAGACGCAGCCCCCACGACGACACAGAGGCGTTCACTGTCTTTTTGCGGTCAGACGTAGAAGCCAAGTTAGTCCTATTGCTCTACACCTCACGAGATGTTTATAGTACAAGACGATAGTTCAACAAAACATTGCTCAAACCGGCAGTTTTCACTGAGATGTTCTCTAACTTTTCTTGATTAATTTGTTCCTCTCTCTGACTTTTAGAGCAATAGACGTATGGGGAAGCCACGAAGCTCTAGCCCGAGAGAGAAATCTCAGGAAAGAGGTGGAGAGAGAGTACCAAGAGAGTAGGTTTATATTTTTCCCTGGCTGGATGTGCGTCTTTGTGAACATGTAGTAATACTTAAGATTTTGTCTTAAAGCAAATGTTCAATCTTTTGGGAAATGCCATTTTTTGATGAGAAGATTGATACCACTTTATTATTTGTCTTTTAAATATAAAGCTACAGCTGCCAGCCAGTTAGCTTAGCTTTGCACCAAGACTTTAAACTGGGGAAACAGCTTGCCAGACTATCAGACGTTAACAGAATGCATCTACCAGCACCTCTAAAGTTCACACATGTTGCTGTTTTTGGGAGGTTATGTGGTGGACCATTTCTTGGCTCTGAGCAGTTGCCAGGCAATAGTCTGTCACATACCCTTCGATAAAACAGAATGGTTATTTATTTATTTATTTATTTATTTATTTATTTATTTATTCATTCATTAAATTTGTTTTACACTTTTTAAAATACTTTTTGTGTGAATTAAACAAATGAGATGTAATGTTAATTAATGAGCTTTAGAGGTTCTGCCGGGCAAAGCCAGGCTTGCTGTGTCCCCTCATCTAACCCTCCACAAGAAAGCAAATGTCACATTCAATACATCAAGCCACATTTTACCAGTAGTAGAGAATATTAATATTAATTAGTTAATATTTATATAACTTGTTCATAAATCTGATTGTTTCACAGCTGTCGTACAGTGTTCGGTTTGTGAACTGTTGACATATCCTTTTATTCGTATCTCCTGTTTTTTTCATCTCCAGATATTTTTCGGAATCAACAATTGTTGAAGGAATACAAACACTTTTGGGGAAACACTAAGGTGAGCAGATCATATGATCAGTTCTCCAAATCAGGTGTTCTTTGTGAAAAAGGAAGTAATAATCACCATACCCAATTCACGTGACTTTTGTCCCTGTTAGAGAGGTCACTGCATCTATATGACAATGTCATCATCCGTTGTCATTCATGCAGTCCTGTGTTTACTGTAGGGTGAGGATGTTATTTCAATGACTGTACTGTACTGCTGTGCACTACTCTGGTATGTCACGGTTTGTTCTATACTCTGCTGGATTGTTGGCCAGAGTATCCTCACAGTATGCTTCATGAGCCATTGAAAACAAAAAGATTCTCAACCATGTGTGTATTATGTCAAAGGCCGGTTGCTAAATGACTCTATTTTACCATGAAGATAACCAGAGTATTTTTTAAATGCCGATATTGCTGACACTGCACACTATTCATAGTCCTTATTCTATGTGCCTCACAATCACACACTTCTTTTTCTTTGTTTCACAAAGCCTCGATCAGGCAAGAGGACAACATTTCTACAAGGACCGGGGAAGGTGGTCATGGTCGCTATTTGCATGTACGTTTTCACTCTTGCTAGTCTTCTTTCTGAGCGCTGTCGGCACTCAGTAACCCTACCGAACATTTGTGCACACAGTGGGAGGCATTGGATTAGAGAGGAACGAAGAGTCTGTTCTCAGCAGGGTTTACTACCTACAGTGTGTGGGATTGAAGTATCAGTATAACATTTGGGGGAACTGAATTTAATTGATCTGGATAAACCTGTAGTCCAGAACAGATGCTGACTACGTGTAGACCTACTATCACTTGAGGTCTTCTTTTCTGAAGAAATACCCTGCACTGTAGACTTTTGACACTCACCAGTGACATTTTGTATTGCATGGGACCTTGTCTCACATGAGGTCCTCTGGCCTATTGGATTAGGATGATTGTGTTAGAAGACATGTGCAGTCACATGAACAGCAAAATGTTTCCGGCACAGAGTATGCACATAGACTCACAGGACTCAATTAGTTAAGCGCTCAGCACGGGAGAGGTCCAGTGTGGTTTAAAGTCTATGATTCGGGAGCATAAAAGCAGAAAAGTTGAAATACTTTGCAATAAACAGAAAATGGTAGAATAAAAGAAAAGTTATTGTGCCTTGTAATTCAGTTAACTTTAACCTCCAGCACGATGTGTGTGTCTACACTGAACAGTCATGTTGTCAGTGAGCTTTGTTTTTATCTCCTGTACAAGCTAACCAAGGACTTCCAAGGGTCCTTGAGTCGATTTCAGGGGGTCTCTAGATAAATTTAATTTAATTTAATTTCACTATTATTTCATTGATTAGAAGTTAGCCCAATGAGAGAAGAGTGGCTATTCTGTTCATAGGTTTTACATTCTTCACTGTTAATCTGCCAATCTACAGTATAGACAGTTATAGGATAACTAAATCTTATCAGACAGTGATCCCCAAGACTACATCTTAAAGAAATACAGGTCCACAGCCTGATATGTATCTGGCTACTGTTTACCGTTAAATTATGTTTTAGATGCTAAACTTTTTCATTGCCCTACAATTGCTTCATCTACCTGTTTTGTTTCTCCTCAGCAATGGGCTGAATTTCGTCTTCAAGCTCCTGGCTTGGGTCTACACTGGATCGGCTAGCATGTTCTCCGAGGCCATCCACTCTCTGGCCGACACCTGCAACCAGGCTCTGCTCGCCCTGGGGATCAGCCAATCTGTCCGCAACCCTGATGCTGGGCACCCGTAAGCACCACGCTTTACTATACTTTTAAAGAAAGTAGACGAAGAAGAATAACAGAACGTGAGCAGCCACCAAAGGAAAAATGGGTCATTATAACACCGAAGAGTAGAATTTTCCTCTTGCAGAGCAGCACATTTAGTTTACGTATTTTAAGTTTTGCAATCATATGATAGAATACATGATCAGTTACAGTGAAACTGATAATAAAATCAGTTAAAATACATAAACCATGTACTATTTGAGGCTTTGATTAACTCGCGAAACTTTTGTGCACTGTGCTCAATCATTAACTCTCTCCTCTGTTTGTGTCTCACACGGCACATGTGTGTGTGCGCACAGGAGCTCAGCCCCGCCCGTGTTGAAACACCGCTACGGGTGGGGGTGTGCTGCTGGTCAGAGGCGAGACAGAGCGGTGGAGAGCCGTATACTCACCACGTGCAACAAATGCCCCGCAAATAAGAGTAATTGCAAACGATGTACAAACAAGGAACAACACTCAGCAGAATACAGTTCATTCAGCGACCAAGACCAAAAAGGATTACAGAGAGAGTTTGTTAGGCTATTTTATAGCCTGCTTTGTTTAAGATAAGATAAGATAGACTTTATTGATCCCACACTGGGATTAGTTATTTAGTATAAAAAATATATATTTATATATGAAGTATAAAAACATTAATGAAAGCTTGGTTGTCTGCATTTATTTGTTAATGCAGTGCAGAGCTATTTACCTTTTTATTTTTAAGGAAAAGTATTGGCTCAGGTCTCGGTATCAGCAGATGTTAAATGGTGAACTGGGGCAAAAAGACTTGATTATAACATTTTTACCATGGTATCAAATTGGTGTTGGTATCAACTACTACATTTCTGGTATTGTGACATCCCTAGCTGAAATGGAACAGTTTTTTATGATGGCTGTTAACAGAAGTCTACAGTTTACAGATTTAGATCTTTGCTACAGTAAGCATTAATCCTTTACAAATGGCATTTGTACAGACGTTAGATGTTTGTATCCTTTACAGAATAATGGTGGACTAGAAGTGTTGTAGGGTAAGAACCTGTGTCCTGGTTTTGATAAAACATAATCAGCATTTATGGGAGATACTGAAAGAAAAGCTCTGTCATTAAAATCTAACTCTAATCCAGACGTAGGCTAACAGCGAATGATGGAAATCTGTATAGCTATCATTGCTACTGAAAAAACTCAATAATTGATTGCTGAAGTTAGCCAGCTAAATTATTGCTGGTTCCCAGGGTGTTACAATGGATAGGCTGACATTCATTGAGGGAACATTCAAGTTCCCCTGCACTCTTTACTGTACAGTGAAGTAGGAGACATTTTGTGTCCAGTAGGAAAACTTTACAAATGAACAAAATTTTAATATTCATAGATTCTGAAATTGTGGAAAAAACATGTACCTACATAAAAACTTATCAGACACACATTATTGTTCCAAGCAGACTATTTGTATATGTTGTAATACATGTCTGGTGGGGAACTTTAATGACTGTGTCACGTTATCTGGGTAAAACATATTCACTGTCATTTAAACTCTGCAGGGCAATGTTTGAATACTAGTGTGAAGTTGATCAGATGAACGGTTGTTGAGAAAACACTGACTCCTTCCATCGTAGTTAGATGACCGCTGTAATAGAGGCCCTATGTCTTTTTCAGATATGGCTTCTCCAACATGCGCTACATTGCGTCCCTCATCAGTGGGGTTGGCATTTTTATGATGGGAGCAGGCCTCTCCTGGTACCATGGCATCATGGGATTGCTGCACCCAGAACCCATGGAATCTTTGTTATGGGTGAGTGTCTGTGTTGATTCTTGTCTGTAATGCAACGTACATAAAGGATGATAATAATCCAACACGTCACGTTTTTGTGTTTTAGGCTTACTGTATTTTGGCAGGCTCTCTGGTGTCTGAAGGAGGTAGGTTGTAAAAATGGAATCTCTCGATCATTAATGACATTTTGACGTTTTGTGCTGAAACATATCCTTTCTCTTTCCTTTCTCAGCCACGTTGCTAGTTGCCGTCAATGAGATAAAGAAGAGCTCCCGCAAGCACGGAATTTCTTTTTATGAATATGGTCTGTTCAACTGAAATATCTATGTGATTAATTGGTGTGAATTCTTTGTGCCTTGGATGCCATTTACACCTGGCATTACAGCAAATCTGTAGTAATCAGATCTAATCTACATAAAACGTCAGGTAAAATGTCCCGAAGGTGCAGGAGTGGGATTTATTTCTGAATCAACTTAGATTAGATTGAGATTTAATGAGCTGAAATCACCTACAACTGTGTTTTGCGATTAAATAAAAAATTAAAAAGTGTGATTAGAAATGTTTCTCTAAGCCACATGTAGTGTGAAATGAGTCCTGGTGTTTCTGCCATTGGACACAGACAGTGCCATTGAGGTTGAATTGCACATTGTGAAGGAAAGTAGGACACCAAATACATATTTCTACAACAAATTTAAATGATTATTGGATAAACTGGTCATTTGTGATCAAATTGTTGTAATGTGGATACATATAGCTTAAAAATTCTGCTGCTTGTTTGTGTGTGCAGTAATGCAGAGTCGAGACCCCAGCACTAATGTCGTGCTGCTGGAGGATGCTGCTGCTGTATTAGGGGTCACCATGGCTGCTGGTTGCATGGGGCTCACCTCACTTACAGGTAAACACCTGCAGTTTCTATCTATTGTAGTCGCCCTAAGTCATGCAATTAATGAGCTCAGATTTTTATTGCTCTATATTATCTTCTCGTGTGTACTATAATTTCTTATTATTCTATTGATATGCCAAATTACTCTCAGGATAATCTTTCTTCTGTTTGCGTACTTTGGTCTCTAATTTCTAATGTTGGAAGTTTCTCTTTCAATTTTTTGCCCTCCATCCCTCCCCGCCTGTGTTGTCTCAGGTAACCCACTCTTTGACAGTTTGGGTTCTCTTGGCGTGGGCACGTTGCTGGGCACCGTCTCAGCCTTCCTTATCTACACTAACACAGAGGCCCTGCTGGGGCGCTCCATACAGCCTGAACGTGTACAGAAGCTGACAGAGTTCCTGGAGAACGACCCTGCTGTAAGGTCAGCAAATGAGACGCACTCTGGTGTACACACACACACACACACACACACACACACACACACACACACACACACCCACACCCATGGCTGTAAGACATGAATCAAGTCTTCATGTCAGGTCTGGAATCAGTCAAGTGACAACGCCTCACACCAGTCAACGTGGTCTAACAGGTTTGCTGATGTTAATGGACAACATTCAGGCTTGAAATAGACCGTCTGGTATTTACTGGTCTTTTCATGCAACCGTCTTTGCAAAGTGATCCAGTTTAATGCCTCAAGTCACAACACGAACACGCAAGAGCGAGCAACAAACCTTCCTTTAAAGGTCCAGTGTGTAACATTTAGGAGGAGCTATTGGCATAAATGGAATATGATTTTCATAACTACGTTTTAATTTGTGTATTATCACCTGAATATAGGAATCGTTGTGTTTGTTCCCTTCAAATGAGCGTCTTAGGTCACTTTCCCTGGAGTCCGCCATGTTGGACAGCCAGGTTTCTACAGTAGCCCAGACGGAACAAACCAAACACTGTCTCTCCACCGTAGGTTCTCGTTCATGCTTAGAAGGGGAGGGTGGAGCTAGAGATGCAATCTGCAATACACTGCTAGATGCCACTAAAGCCTGCACATTGGACCTTTTTAAGAAATTAAAAATCTGTTTTCAATATTACATTGTAAACATGTTGCATCTGGTAGTGGAAATCCACTGTAGTGTTCAGTAATGATGTTTGCTCTGCCTAACCTGAAGTCTTCCTGATATGCTTTATGTAATTATGAGCAGGGCCATCCACGATGTGAAGGCCACTGATCTGGGACTGAGTAAAGTGCGCTTCAAGGCTGAGGTTGACTTTGACGGCCGAGTGGTGACACGGTCTTATCTGGAAAAACAAGACATTGACCAAATCCTCAACGTAAGTCATTCATGTGCTTCTTTAGGTTCCGACTATTCTCTACTTTTTATTACTGTGATGTCTGGTAGGCAATAAAAAACAAACTAACCAGTTATCTGGGCATTTTATGTAGAATAACAAGACTCTTCATGCTCAGGCATGTCTCGGTTTCCTTCCCTAATTACTATTTTCAGGACACATTGGAGAAAGCATTGTTTTAGGATGTAATGTATTTTACTCATTTGAGCACCAATTATGATTTTATTTATATTTTTCCCTCCACGATTCACAGCAGTTTGTCTAAATAAAAAATGAAATGTATGTTGCATTGTTTTTAGGAATATTTTGAAATTAAATTGCTGGAGGAAGTGAAAATTCCAACAACAAAAAATGAAGTTGGTAGTTGTTTGGTCAATGTGAATGTCTCAGTGTTTTGTGCTTGGTCAGATTTTCAGAAAAATTGTGGTGATTTGACAAAATTCCCCAAATTCACAGGGATTGGTTGAATTTACGTCACTTGTTGCGATCTCAACCTCCAGGAGGGACTGTTAATATACAGTATAAGCATTATTCAAAATGAATCAAGGACCCTCTGCATGTTTCTTTTTTTTTACAAAATATGTAAGAACTCTGCACTGATCTATCTTTTTATCTTCCAGATTATCTTGTACTGTGCAGTGTTAGGATTTTAATCTGTTGCCTCCTGATTGAGCTTCAGTCCAGTCAGAGGAATCTGGGCAAACCTTGAGCATTAAACTCAAACAGAAATCATTTGTCTCTGTTGGCAGCAAAAGCCTGTCTTACAAATGTGGATATTTTTGGCGTTTGCTGTGTCCAACAGCATCTGTATTGCTCACCTGGATCTGTGCTGACAAAGCTAGGTGTGCTCTTGTTTGTCTCTGCAGGACATTCAGCAGGTGAAGACCCCCGAGGAGCTGGAGAACTTCATGCTGAAACACGGGGAGAACATCATTGACACCCTGGGGGCCGAGGTGGACCGCTTGGAGAAAGAACTCAAGGTACTAAAATATTAGACTTGTCCAAAACGTTGTCTGGCTTCATATTGTACATAGAAACTAAATTTTTAAACAATTTCAGGAGGATTTTTTTTTTCATCTTACAAGCATTGCAAGACTTGTGCATAACCCTGTTTTGTTCCTCCGTAGCAACGCAACCCAGAGGTTCGTCACGTAGACTTGGAGATACTGTAATACCTCTAATGTGTCTGTGCTGAGGGAACTTCATGCTGAAAACAAGAAGAACCAACAAGAGGAAAAGGTGAAAGGAGGGCCAAGCCTGCCTCCGCAATCTGCCTCCCATCCTGACCACCGCAAAACAAACCTCCGTCTCTACACAAGTCTTACTATAGAATAGTCCTCAACCTTATACAAGGGCAGTGTTTGGGCAGTGATTGTACTTTGTTTGTGTTGCTTGAGCTTCATATAACTATACTGAGAATTCAACCTGCCAGAGATCTGTGTGTGTGTGTGTGTGTGTGTGTGTGTGTGTGTGTGTGTGTGTGTGTGTGTGTGTGTGTGTGTGTGTGTGTGTGTGTGTGTGTGTGTGTGTGTGTGTGTGTGTGTGTGTGTGTGTGTGTGTGTGTGTTGCAGTACACACACACACAGTTCAGTCTTGTGGTTGTTTGCTTGAAGTCACATTCCTCCTTGAATGTGTTAGGATTGGGTTGAAATCATTAACAGGACCAGTATAATTTACTAGAGTTGTACTTTAATGTTATGCTTGAGCCACAGTGATAGTGTTTCCTTCATTAGTACAAAGGAAACAAGAAAACTACATATTCAAACAAGACTTATTCAACTGCTAGACAATATTAGATGTTTTTTTTTTTTTTATTTTAATGTAAAAACTGAGGAACTGAAGACGCGGCTGCAGGTTCTCTATTGAAGACAGAACTTATAATGAATAGATTTTATTGCCATTACAGAAAATTATGCAAATTGAAAGGCGATGAGGCTTCTCACTTGATTTGTATGATAGAGTTGAAGAGTGAACTGATACAGAATACAGTAGCACTTAATGAACCACTCGAGCCAGTAGCTATTGGACATGTTAATCTCTACACAAGCCAAGAAATGACATCATAGGCAGTGTCATCCCTCTCTTTCACTTCATTTCTCTCTTTGCCAGCTCCAAACTTTGATGTTCTCCAAATTTGAGGTTTAGTATCTTGCGTCTTGTGAGTTTGGCAGCTGATCAACAGATTGTACTGTTCCAAAGACGAAGAACTGGATGGTTGCAAATATCTTTGCCCCCATTTTCCACTCAGTGTAAATAAGTCAGATGACAAAATGTACCCAAACAAATGGAAAATCAGGTTTCATTAAGCGTTGAGCTTCACAAACAGTCAACATAAAAAATATTGTTTCAGTCATTGAGGATGTCACCCCTGTACAGTATGTGTACCAAACGATATGCTGAATAATCTCTATAAATATGCAGTGACTGTGCTTTTACTTTTCATTCTACATTTACTGTCACAGTCGCAGCACGGGACACACCTGCCTGTCTAAAAATCTGTTTCTGCTTCAGGAGGTGGGCCAGAGCCATTTCATCTTTGTTGGGGGAGGTGGATATATATTTTTGAAGGTGTTAATAGTGTAATATTTCCCTTTGGTTATAAATATGTTGCCACTGCTGAAGGAGTTGGAATAAATTTGAAATAATTTATTAAATTATTTTGCTTTCCTTTTCTGTCATGTGGTTGGATTTCTTTTCTTTATTTGTACAGGGACGAAATACCACACACAACATTTATAGCCTCAGGTAATGTGCATTTCTCACCCCAGGATGGGCCTTTTAAAATATAGCATCTAATTCACACTACTGCATCAAGATTTCGGGGGTCTTGTAGGAGCTCCGAGACCCTTAAAGATGTTGGGAATACCTCCATTAAAGATCTTAACGTGTCTTAACACATCTGGAACAGTAAAGAGCTACATTTCCGAGTCCTGATGTTTGATTTGGAGGCCTGTTTCCTGTTTAAAGCTCACTGGAATGTAAACCCAAGTCCATTAGATGGTGCAGTTGTAGGGATGAGCGAGAGGGGGGGCACTAGCCTGCACGCTGACGTCAATAAAAACAGTCATTTCCAACCAGTCTGCGCATTGACCGACCATTCAAAACATTACGCACAGCATCGCGGCTGGACCACGCTAGACTACTCGACTGAAATAAAATGTTCGCCGAGCCCGGAGAGCGGAGACAATGAGGAGAAGCTCCATTGCAGGTTTTTGACCATTGAATGTTGTCTTCACATTTTTTTGGGTGTAGCGCGCATATCAGTGTCATGTCTCGTCATACCATTCCCAAGTCAGTTGTGCCAGTGCCACTGCCCATCGTTGTCTTCTTTCATGTCTTCCCCCTCCTCAGAGAAGGAAAGGGTCGCTTGTGCACGTTGATTGAGAAAAAGTAATAATAACGAGCAGGTCCTTTGGGTGATTCGGCTCATTCTTATAAAGGAAAACGTGCGTCGAGGCGCGCCTGCTGTCACCAAACACATCTTCAGTCATTCCGCAGCCTTCTGCACATCACATCCTGATCTCACTTCCATTGATTGTCTATTCGGTAACGCGTTGTTTTGTTTTTTTAAATGTAGCTGTTTTTGTTTTCATTTTTTGATGCATCCCGGTTTTTTTTTTTTTTTTTTTGTTGTTTTTTTTTTTTTCTCCAATATTTTCGTCTCCAGCAGCCCACAGATGGGGGCGCAGTAAACCTGCACAGTTTGGGGTCTCAGATTTTCATGCAACCTCCCCTCCATCACCACAAGCCTGCGGTTACAAAATCCCCAACCCCCCAATCATCATCATCATCACTCTTCGGTGCGGGATTGAATTGAAGAAACCAGATTTCGTGCAGCAATGTAATCACCTCCCATTGTCCATGCAGAAATCCTGACCTCGTCAACCTGTGTTTGTTGTTTATTTTAACGCACCGGTTGTGTTTTCCTATTCTCTCTCTCTCTCTCTCTCTCTCTCTCTCTCTCTCTCTCTCTCTCTGAATAATCGATTTGGTTGCTGTTTCAATCACAGGTGCGGGAGCATCTCGGGAGTGTGAAGGCGAGGGGGGGGAGTCTCTCATGGCGGATCATCACCACCTCCGTGCTCTACGCTTTTAGCCTCTTTACAGTGCTGCCTTGTCTAATCATGTTCAAGCAGCATTGTACAGGGCTATGACAGCGTAGAGAGCTGAGCTGCGTTTGTCTGACCCTTTGGATGGCAGCCAGTCAATGACATCATCCCTCATAAACACACACAGCGGTGAGGATTGTGGTCTCCGTGTGAATCGATGCCAATACAGTGTCTTTTAAAGTTCATGCGGATGTGGTCAGGAGCTGGAACGGATTGCTGGCACACATGAAGTCCACCTTGAGGTTGAATTTATTCAACCTAAAATCCCCTTTGCAGCCGGTATATTATTGAACTCGTCAGTCACATTGCGTTGCGCTGCTCTTGGATCAGCCCTTGTGTGTGTGTGTGTGTGTGTGTGTCTCCTGTGTTACCATTATATTCCGGTCACAGAGCTGAGCATCCGCCCCTCCACCCCCAATTGAATAAGTAGTTCTTTTGATGTGTTTAAGGGTTTTAACCATTAAAAGAGCTGCAATCATGAGAGGCACACAATACTTTCAGATATAGGTCAGTGATTGGTTGTGTGTGTACTCGGCTGCAACCAGCGATTTGTTAATCTGATGGGCTTTTTTCTTGATTCAAAGAATAGACAAAGAAAATCAGCATCTCTAAAGAATTTTTGCTTAAAAAATGACGATTAATCGATTATTATAATTTTTTTTGTCATTTTGTCAATTGTTTTAGCTGTAATGTCGACCACAGATATATAATGTACTATTAAAAAGATTCAAATGTGTGACTCCCTTGATTTCTTTCAATTTAGGCTGTTTGTTGCCAGACTCTCATCTAGATATGCACTCAGTTGCCAGTTTATTAGGTACACCGAATTAAAACTGATTCTGTCTAATACAACAGTCCTGCAGTAAGTCCTACCTTCATGAAGCTTATCTAAGAGGTATGCATAACTGTTGTATTAGAGTTCGTCTTAGCTTGGTGTAGCCTGCCTAATAAACTGGCAACTGAGCAGTGTTGGGCAGTAACTTATTACTAGTATTAATATTCGGTAATAAAATTACCATCCAATCACATCCTTGGATTCATCTTTGTCATTGTGGAGGAAACTAGTTTGAAAGATGGAAACACTTATACATATGCAGCAACTGGAAATATTCCATTACTTTGATTTTAACAAACAAAACTGGATTTTAATTGTCATAAGTCAGAATTTGGGGAGATGGGGCACAATTTCATCACCAATTTTGTAAGGGAGTAGCAGAAAAGTAATATAACTAGTAGTGGAACTGAGGAGTAATAAGTAAAGTAATTATGTGACTTTTTCAGTAAGTAATGAGTAATATATTACATTTTGAGTAACTAGTCCAACACTGCACCTGAGTCTATCTTGTATAATACATTTTTTATATGGTTGTATTTGTTTTGGTGCTCCACTGTGAGCAGAGGGTCCAGTTTCATGCCCTCTGCTGGCTGCAGATTGAGCCCTCGACTTTCCCCCTCTGTCTTGTGTCTCTGCTATCCTTAACTCTGTCTGATGTGGGATTAGTAGTGGGAGCATTGTTCATGAAGGAGAGACACCTCGCTAATTAAATAACAAGCTTACATTTACCAGAGGTGAAACTAGTTCATGATGTGTTTACAGACCCATGCAGAAACCCTCCTGTGAACACTTTGCAATAATCTGAGAGGTGGAGCCTGTTATTATATGCTTTGGATCAAAAACATCTGCGCCAGCAGGTTCTTATTATTCAGAATTAGACTGACATTTACCAAACCAACAACACCAGATCCACAAATTCACAGATTTTATTACAAATTAATCTTATCTTTACTAACAATGGCCATGGAAGAAGAGTCCTGTCTCATTTCACTGCCTGTGTTGCAGTCCAGTTGAAGGTCCTGTGTAAGGTCCCAGAGAAGGAAGTAGGGATGTTGGGTCAGGCACTTAACATCCTCACTTGCTGCAGCTCACGCAGGGCTGCAGGCCGTTCTCGTTGCAGGAAGTGCACTTGAGGGCTTTGAAGGAATCTGTGAAGAGGTTGCGAAACACAGACATCTTGCTGCCATGGCACATTGGGCACGGGATGAAGGCAAAGCCCCCGCAGGTCTGGCACGTCTGGGGATGCTGTACCCTCTAGAAAAAATAGATTCCAGATAAGATATCATTAACATTAAGTATTGACACCTCAAGTCTGTCTACATTGCACAAAATGGCTGGTTTTAGTTTTCTTTCTAGGGCACATTTTTGGAGATACAAGGTTTGAAAAAAATTGGTACGAATAACTTTAAATGAATAGTTTTGGGAAATACTCGTACATGCTTTTTTATTGAGCGTTAGATGCCGTGTTCACCTGATATCATCTAGACCATATTTAGAAGCAACTTATTCAGAAAAACTGGTTTCATTAGCCATGAGATGTAATTCAGAGAAGGTCTTAATCGATCACTTGATAAAAAGAAACACAGACGTGTCAACAAACCATTGCTGCCAGTTGCATCTTTACAACATCAAATATCAACATTAATACAATCAATTAAGGTCCTATATGTACCAGAAAACCATTGTAAACATTGACACTAGTGGTCATAAACTGAACTGCAATCAGGACCCTGTTGCTTGTGCTCACTCCGTACACAATCAGTAGGCGTGGACAAGCATCATCCTGGGCATGGGCCAAAAATGACATACACTAGACTGAACACTGACATGAACCCTGAATGCTGGCAAATAAATTACAATCATATTTTATCATAATAATGATTATGACATAAAACTAATACATAAAATGCTTCAGAATCTCACTATGGCATCTGTAAAAGGAGCTAAATGCAGTTTGTTGGTATCTGGTTTGCCTTGTTAACAAACCACTTCAAATATGTAACATCACAGAAGTAGTGATGTAGTTATGTAGGCTAAATGATGTGACTACAAGGCTAGAAGTGATATTAACCATGCACGAACACTCCGGAGTTGGAATAAATTTGAGATGCTGGTATGGATTTTTTAACTCTTCAACTGAGCTACACTCGTGTTTAAATGCTGCAGCTTAATTGACCATCTCCTGGCTGTAGCTTAGCGTACAAACATGAGACTTGTATAAATCTTCTCATCTAACTCGGGGGCCTGTAGTCTGCAGATATAAACACATAATAAAGCCATCTTGCAGGGCAGTTCCAGACCGATTAGTGTATGCGTGACCTTTCAGAGCTGCACACTTTTTTAATAGCCTGCAGTGACTGGAATGCATGACTTAAATGTCATAACACTGCTTTGTATTCACTTATGAAGACTTTTGTTGGGTCTGGACTCAACTGAAGCCTGAGAAAATGCTGGCGCAGACGTTGCTGCAGCTCAGTGTGACGCAGAAATAGTTCACACAATCTCAGGTTTGTACCGCGGAGCGATGTGCTCTGCGTTGGTGTGTTTGAACAAATGTGTTGGGAGCAGAATCAATAACAGGCCCTCCATTATTGATGGTTACTTATTGATGTGCATGCGTCTGTTGTTCATGTTTTATTGATGACATGAGGGGAAATGACTGCGCCTGCTTGCGCCATGTTCATCTCAATGGCTTTGGACAGACACTTTGTGTTATTTATTATGACTATAATTACCTTTGCTTTAATATTATATGTGCTACAAAGCATATGTTACATTGTTCATTAAATCTAATAGCAACCACATGAATAATTAAATCATCAGTATGTGTCAAACCAAGTGGTTGATTTACAGGAAAATCACCCATTTGACCACCGTCAGTTATTTATAATGTGATTTGCAACATTGTGAGAACCAACCTCAATTTTTGTCAGAAGATCTTGAAGCTCTCCTGATTCGTTCATGCCGAGTATCTTCTCAGCACCCTGTAGGACAGGTTTGAACCCATAATTCAATATTTAATTGAATGAATGTACCAGATATTGACACCAGATATCGTTAGAAAGGAGTAATGAGAACTGACCCCAAGGTAGTGTCCATCAATGAACACAACTGGTAATGAAGGAGGTTCTCCCACACGTTTGCACCGCTCCTCCAGATCCTTCCCGTACTCACAGTCCAGGGCGATGTTCTTCTCCACAAACTTCACCCTGTGGTTCTGGAAGATCTTGCGGACCAGCTCGCAGCGCTCAAAGGTCGTCCTCACCACACGGAAACTTGTAGTGTAGATCACTATCCGCCCAAATTCAAGAGCTAGCTCCATCTAAAAGAGAGTCAGAATGCTTAATGTAGTTAAATGATAAAGGTTTTTTTTGTATTTGTTTTTATCCATGAGGTTCAAACAACAGAGACCCAGCAGCAATATACTGTAGATTATGATGTAAAATTTCAGGATATGTATTTCAAATATCATCTTTGGAAAAGCCTCACACTGCCTCACTGATGCATTGTAGCATCGGTATTGGTATCCACTTATAGGAACATTTCCTATTTTATTTATTAACATCGACAACCTTTCTAACTGAAATATTTAACAAATTAAATTATGAATTCAAACTCAAAGGTTGTTCTTGTTAATGGCTCATAACTGATTTATAAAGCATTAAGAAATTATCTCTGTTTTTTATTCATTAACTGAAAATAAACCAAACTCTAAGCGGTTCCTGTTCGTGATCCTAGGCTCCTCTTAAACGGACTCTTTGAAGTTCACAATGGAAAAGTCATAGCTTTAGTAATTCTGAACCAAAATCTTAGGCACAAACATAGTACATGTTTTCAAGGTAAAAATGCATTTCCGTACGCAATCTGGTTGCAAATTAAGTTCTCTGATTCAAACTAGGATCTTAAAATGCTTTATACTGTAAGAATTGTCAGGCTTTGTGCTTTCAAATGATGTACAGTTTGTCAAGGTGAAGTGAGGATTCAGTATGGCAACTAACACCCCCTCTCGGGCCTGTGTTTAGAGAGATTAGGATTTATAATCCCTTTATAAAAGGTTTATTGGAAAGTGGCGCGGGCTTGTTTTAATTATTTTACAATTTAGGTATTATTTGCATAGCTCTCAAGAAGTATATCATCTATTTTATGCTTTTAAATGTGCTCATCTTCCCTTCCAGGCAGCCTTTGGTTATCATTTATATCAACAGAGTTTGGAAATTAATTTACTGTCCAGACTTGACTGTCAAAAATGAAAATAGTTTTAGCTTTAAAACATTATTGGGAATAATGTGGTGTTGATATTTTAAACATAAAACATGTAAAAACAGAATGTTCCTTAAGGATTAGACCAGTCCGTGATAAGCATTTAAACTTCACTCTAAAAGAAAGATAATCTCATTAATGGTGACGAGAAGCTTTATCTCGCCTACAGTGATGGTGTATGTTCATCTAATAGCACTTTGCAGAGAAATAGTTTCTTCAATATGACCTTCTATATCACCTTTGCATCAGCACACGGGCCAAGAGGTACCTCAGAATAACAAACACTTCGTCTTTGTGAAGGGATACTAGAAAGCGAAGTTCCGAGAATTCATTAACCTGATTAGTTTCTCTTGAAACACTTAACGAAATGCATCATTAATCTTTAATTGCACTGTGACCTTGTCTTCTATTGTGAGCTTTTATCCCAGTCGTGCACCTACATGAAGATCCTACCTGTAACTAGACTTGAGGACAACGCTGATGGGAACTGTTGTTATAACCATTCAAGCATTAATGGAAACTCATAAAACAGACTGCATTGAACAATAAGATAAAACTCCGTCCCATGTACTTACACTGTTGGAATTGGGGAGGTTTTCAAACAGCGTCTGACCTGCGCTGACTTTGTGCTTGACCCCTCTTACAGTCCCATTTTTACTCATTATGTTGACCCTCTTGGTGGTGAACATCCAGTCCTTGGTGGCCCCTGCGTACATGAGCAGCTCATCGGGCTCACACTCGCTGTCATCCAGCTCAGAGCCCAGGTATCCATACAGGTGTCCCTGCACGTCTCCACTCGTAGAAGGGGTGCTGGCCCGTTCTGCATCAGAGCTGCTGGTGCAGTCTGAATCCAGGGAGTCTGAAGGCCCCTCGTCCTTGAACATCTCCTTCAGCACCCGGCCGCTGTTCCCCGAAGCCACGCGGAACCTCACCCGCTTCTGTGGCTTCTCCTGATCTGCCGTCAGCATTGTCCCCTCCATTGCAAACCCTCTGCCACATCACATGGTCCACAACCCTGCAGTGTAGCTCCTTGCGTCTCATTCGGAGGTAGACATGCAGCTCAGACGCACTATTTGTCCCCCATGGATTACTACCACGTTTAATCCTCGCTGTTTGAACAGATCTAAAAACGACTGAGAGCCTGTAAGCTGCCTTACAGTCAGACTCACACTGCCAGTAAATAATACATGCATTTCTACCATGGCAACCTAGCAAGCTAATCTCAAGTAAAATGATAGTTGTCTTTGAATTATTCATCACAGTTTACACAGTTTTCACCAAAGCTTTGACAGAAGACTTTTAATGGCCTGACTTCATGCGCTTTAATCAAACAAACAAACATTTCTCCCTCTTGGGATAAGATAACAGTTGATGCTGTGAGGCAACAACTTCTGCATCATTTTAAGATTCACTACAGTTCAATTCTCACTTTCCCTGCATGCTAGTAATTATTTAAAAGACAAATAGGGATTCATGTGTAAGACTGCTGAACACCCTTCCTACCTAGCACTCATCACATGCCTTAGTTAACACAAACATAAAGCTAGTTACGTCATCACATTACGTCATTTTTAGCCATACTAGCAGCAATGTGGTTGGTTGGTTCACCTTACACTGAAATATCTCAACTGCTGTACACTGGAAAATGACTTTTTATTTATTGGTTTACTCGCTAATAACTAATAAATCACATCCCGATAAAGTCGTTCCGGGGTGTGGTGGGTAATTTGGGTTTTTAACTACATGGTCCTGAACTACTGTGTTAGATGGATTTCCATGAGTGCTAATGAATTTGTATGAAAGTTTTAAAGTAATTCACTATTCAGCAGCACCTTGTGTTCATTGCTAATTAGCATATGTTAGCATGCTAAACTGGTTAGTGTGACAAGTTTAGCTAACCAAATTAATCGCCGTTAACATGTAGTCTAGTTTAGTGAACATTATACTTGCTAAATATCAACATTTTAGTCTTTGTGAGCATTCTGACATTAGCATTTAGCTCAAAGCACCGTTGTGCCGACAGTCTCGCAAAGCTGCTAGCGTGATTGTAGACGCTGGTGTAGTCTTTGGTGTAGTCTACTTTGCACAAGTTTGTGAAAGTCTTTTAATAAATTATATTTTGTATCATGTGCACTTCATTTAAACATACTCAGATTTCTTATTGCCCTCAAGCATTCACACCAATACACTTTAAATATTTAATGTTTTTTGGCCTGATGCTTTTGGGTTTTGTCTGAAATTGTGTCTGGTTGATTTGAACTATATTTCTACAGTTGATATGACCAATAAACTTGAGATTAAAATGAGATTAATTCGCAAGTTTTGATTTAGATTTAACTTTATTGCCATTGCACACAGCCCTACCAGTAATTATAACATATAACAAACAGAACTAAGAGTAGGCTGTAATATATATATATATATATATATATATATATATCAATGTAAAAGTATTCAAATTTAGACTGTACAGGCTGTTTGTTTGTTCAGAAAACTTTGTCTCCAGTTTCATTAACATACGCAAACTTTTTTTCATTGCGACATCTTTTTAGTCCCTGACTGCTTACTGTGTTACACCCACAGTTGGAGTGCAGGTGTTTACTGGGCGTCCACACGGAGCAGAAGTGACCATATAATGTATCACGGTGACACAATAGAGCAGCGTGTCCACAGAGACGCCTCAGCCAGTTTTTTTGTGTCACAGGTGATGAAGCAGCTCCCTGGAGATGTGACACGTCAGCTTATAGTGATGACAGCACCACTCTGTTTGAGTGCTACAGTTTGGCCCCTGAGGTAAGAGCCACACACACACACACACACACACACACACACACACACACACACACACACAGCATGTCATCACCTGTTTGCGTCACCTCGTGCTGATCATTAGAAAAAAATCCATCTGGGAAAGTGTAACGCGTCAAACAGATTTACTGACATCCTGAGGCTGTAGTAGTAGTGTGAGTCTGGCTCTGGTTCCAACTCTTATTGATCCAAAGTGACCCTAACTCTCCTTTAAACTGTCTTTTATCATAAGGACATCACAGCAGCCATTACAATATGTCCTATAAAGACTTGTATATTATTACTGCTAATAGCCAATGTTATGCCATTAGGGTGTCTAGACTGTTAAGTGGCTTAATCAGTTTTATTTTTTTATATATATAATTGTTGAACTTTATGTAATTTGATTATCTTTAACTGTCCTTGACTCTTTACATCAAAGGCCCTGAAAACCTATTTCTCAATAAGCTTTTTACTGCGACAGGGGTCCTTCAGGAACACATATATCTGCATAATATGAGACCTGTTTTGGGCCTTTTTTTTGACGAGAGATTTCTGTCTGTGCTGTTTTGTCTGAGATCTTCTCGCTGATCTGAAGTGTGGAGGAAAAAGGTGATGTCATGTATTTCTGTGCACCAATTTGTCTTGACAAATGACAGTTGTTTTGCCCTGTGGAGTTTTCTTGTAACTTCTTGTTATATTATATTATATTATATTATATTATATTATATTATATTATATTATATTATGTTATATTATGTTATATTATATTATATCAGAGTCTTGGTTCTGGGTGGATTAGAGATTCTACATTTTGAATTTGGCAGTCAGTGTCTGGATAAAGCTGCTTATGTTACTCTGCCTGCCAGTTGAACATACTGTTCTTATAATAGGAATAAATCAGTCATGGTCTTTACATATAATTTTCATTTTAATTAGGTTTTTTTTTTATATCATACAGGTGCAGTTTCTCCATCATCCTCCCCCCCACATACTATAACTTTCAGTCACAGTTAAAACCTCTTCAGCTGTTTTATTCCAGAAAATTCACACCGATACAACTACAGTGACACTACAGTCGATGAATTAAGATAAAAACAAACGTGAAAACAAGTCACTGTGTTGTTCAGCGTCCTGTAAAGACGATACAGGACATGTTTATCTAGAGTTCAGTGAAACACACCCACACCATGTTGAGTCAAGCAGCCATTTTATCTCACTTCAGCACATTTAGGCAAGAGACCACTGAGATGGTGATAGTCCGTTCAACCTGAAGAGCTTATCTCTCAGCCCTCCTCATCAGTAGCAGCTAATAAAGCCACACCAGCCTACCTCGACTCCGATTAAAAATGCATTTTGAAAAGATGAATACTTTAACGCTCTTTAATTCCACTGCTGTCGGTTGACTCGGCTCTGACTGAGTGGAGAAAGTCAAACAGTGCAGGGTGATAGATGGATTTAATTTTGTGAAGTGAACAAACAGATGAAGTCATCGATTGCCTGCTTGATTTTTATGTTAACTTCAGTATATGACTGAGTTGCGGTTCGTATTTGAGTTGTAATAAGACAGAATCAGACTGATCTCCACATCTAACACTTGAGAGAACATTTTATTTAAAACAGCATTGAATCTCTTCCCTCTTCATGAAATGTGACTTTGTGTGAGTTTCACAACATCTGAAAACCTCAATCAACTATTGTGAGTAGGGTTAAGGAGAATGACTGTGCAGTGACTCATCATTTGTGATAGGTTGCCCATCAAACCACCTCACCCTCCCTGACTACAGATCAGCGTCCACAAGGGGGCAGAATGCAGTTCAATTACACCTAAATGTCATGCTGCCCAATTATTCCCTCCAGAGCTGTAGGCCAGGAATGAAGGATGCAGCTGCAAGCCTGATGTCTGCATCCACCAGCTTGGCTTGATCTGTCTTTAGAGAATGATTAATGATCAAATCAATTATTTAAGCAAAGTGAAAAATAGCAGGATTCATGTATCCGAAAGAGATTGAGATAGAATTTTCCAGCTGAACTTCCGAAGGTTTTTCAGACATCATTGTTTTTTTGTAAATATCCAGTCCTGGGCTTAAAAGCATAAAAATGAGAAATGGTCTTAACCCATCGTCATTTTTACAGCTTAAGTGCTGTCTCAGTTCTCTGGTGAGCATAAAAGCCAAATTAAAGTGTCCCTAATATAAAACAAATGTATGAATCAAGCTGCTTTTTGAAATGATTTTCCTTCTGAAAACAATGATTATTTAGCTCTAAAGTGTCAAGGTTATAGGAGAGGCTTCACAGTAGCTGTTTGCAGTACCATGGGAAAGATAGCAGTAAGGGAAATAGCCGGCATTCATCCTCTACAGTCAACTGGATACCCTTTTAAAAGCATCTGGGATGGGATCCAGTAAAGCTGTTGCAGGGTTTAAGCTGCATTACTTCTTCCCTTAGTATTTCCTCTCTCAACAGCAGCAAAAGTGGCTCAAAGTGTTTTCCTGTAGTGGCAAAGGGCTCCCAGACAGGAGCTTACAAACATCATCGTTCAAAGGCTGGTCATTCATCCTGATGTGTGTTTGCTGCCTCTGAAGGACACTGTAAACTCATCATGATGGGAAGGATTTTAAAGGAGGGTTGATGAGACTGTTGTGTAAGGATCATGCTCATTATTGTTTCAGGCACTTCTGAATGATTGAAGTAATGGGCCAGATTTTACTGAGTACTTTTGATTATGAAATTGCAGAGCAATATGGAGATCTCACTCCCTGTTTCTGCATCTTTGCCACGAAATTCACTTGGAGTACTGTGTAATCGCTTGTGCACATGATGAAGACTGGGTCAGTCTTGTAGAAGAGCAACAAACAAGACAAGAGCTTATGTCCATGCTAGGCACAGTTTTGCTTTGAGCTAAATGCTAACTCCAGCAGGCTAACAAATCACAATAATAATATCTTGCTGGTCGTGTAGGTATCTTTCTTTTCTGTGTTTAGAATCTTAGTTTAGCATCTTAGTTTGCTAATATTTTCTAATTAGCAGCAAACACAAAGTACAACTGAGGTTGATGAGTCATTATTCGAATTTTAATCCAATGATGTCACTAGAAGAAAGATTAAGGGATCACCAAAGTTCAATTTGTCATCTGGGAACCATGGATATTTGAACCAAATTTCATGGCAATCCATCCAATAGTTGTTTAGGTATTTCAGTCTAAACAAAAGTGGTGGACAAATCTTTATATATTAAGTATATTTAAGTGACTGCAGTTGACTCAAGTAAGTTAAGTTGTGTGAATGATCTCATACATAATATATACTTTTTAAAGATGACTTTTTCAGCATTTTTTTGTGACAGTATAGAGTAGAACTATCACCCCAATGTATGAATCTGGAATAAGAGTTGGAATAATAAATTATTATTGTTATCAATAGCTAATTCGAGCTGTGGAGAAAATATTAAAAGGAACCAGACTGTAAAGTCATGTCAATGTTATGTTTTGGTCTGAAGTCTTGCTTAATATTTTATCTGCATTTGAATGTATACTTGCATTGCAGTAGTGTATCAAAGAACAAAGGTGTTTGGAGGGCGTATCAGTGAAATCTTTTTAGGTCACTCTGATAAAAACAAACGGATAAAAACACTCTGCTGTTTGTAATTGACACAGATTTTGACAGTGGTAGAAATTTGGACGGCTGGTTGAATGAGTCATTGTTTGGACTGGATATGCTATAAAACACAAAACCAGCACACACACACATAATCAAAGAGGCAGGCTTCTTGTCACTGTTGCTTAGCAACCGTGGGAGCTACAGAGCCAAATCCCCGTGGTGGCAAGCTGATGTTGAATTAGGCGGAGTGGGGGGAAAGAAAGGAAATCTTTGGGAGAGATGTGTCTGTAGCAGGCACAGGAGGAGGCGTAGATGTTCAGGTGTTCATTTCTTATTTTTGGATGTGGTGAATTTAGAGTTCATATGTAACACAATCTTTCTGCGTGTCTGTTTTTTTTGGGCTGTTGAGAATAGGACTTTCATTTAAAATTTTAATAAAAAGGAAAAACAATCCTGTGTTTTTTGGGAATATAACTACATATTAACTTACTGAATCTCTTTGTTCAGAGGTGTGAACACAGATATGCCTCCTGTTGTTAAATTTGCTGCCATCTACTGCACTGCTCATACACAAAGCCTACACGCTGTTTTATGCTTTCAGAAGCAGAAGCATAATCTCATCTTCACCTAATCCTCACAACAGTAAATACATTTTCATTTTTAAAGGGAATATAGATCAAAATAGCAGCAGAATCTCCTACATCACTCCTAACAAAGAATGGCATATTACATGAAAATATGCAAGAAAGTCTGGCAGCAATAACCAAGGAACCTCTGTGTAAAAACACACGCACATAAGCAGGACACTAGCATTATGAAAACACTGCCAGTGCAACATTCACGCCAGACAATAGTGTATCTGTAACACTGCAGTTCTCTCAGGCAACTGCAGTGGTGCTGCTGCTGTACAAATGCTGTCTCCTGTGTGATTTGCATTTCAACTGCAGTGAGAATGAGAACACACTTTGATTTGCTGTATGTACAGCAGCCAGGCAGTCGCAACAGAGATGTCATTGTTGCTGCTTTCTTCTTTGTGTTTGCAGCTATACTTCTTTTCTAGGTGTCTTCTTTTTAGAGCAGGTTCTTGGAGAGCTACACACTGATCAGGGATATAAATTCAACTGTAAACTAGAGTAAGTCACCCTGGATTAGATCTTCTGCTTAGCGTCTCTCTGGACAATAATCACATAACAACATAGTGACTGATACTAGTGCCTAATTACAACCGCCTGATTCCATTGTCGTGGTCAGTTTTAGTTTCATGACATGTTTATGAGTTTAGTTTTCTGAAGACTTGAATCCCTTATTTGATGGACATGATTGATTGTTTGATTAATTAGTCTCTGAGTTACCACGTATTGAGAGAAATTGCTGTGTAATGTTACAGTTTTCTTCCCTGCATCATATGATGTTGGAGTATGCAGCCACATGACCTCTCAGAGAGTCCATAGATAGGGGAATAATTATTTTTGTCTGACTCTCTGCAGCCTTCTCTGAGAGGTTTGTGCTTAAATGGTACAATCTTCCTGGTTAATCAAGAACAAAAGGCAAAACAAATGAACAAAGTAGAGGATATACACCAACCAACAGGGATAGCACACATTACAACACAAACTTATTTTTATGTATGCCTATCAGTCTGTAACATATTAAACATTTTTGTAACATATTAATAACCATATTACCCTTTAATAAAATCTTTGGATGATTCCTTCTTCATCTGGTTGCAGTGTAGATCTTAACTCTGTGTATTATGACATAATGTCATACAAATGTAAATGACACTCTGGGATCATGCACCAAGTTTGGTCGTGTCCATAATCAATAGTGTCTCAGCGAGTCCTGTTTGTCCTGTTTCTGCACTTTGTGGACGTCTTTTTTTGGTCACTGGTGGCTTTCTGTTTCTCTAGGAAGTTGAAACACTGGGAACAAAATTTATTTTCAATGGCCAAATCCCTTATATCTGATATAATTTCCATGTTCGGAGACATAATATATATTTACATTTTTGTTTTTTCATTATTTGTTAGTTATATTCTTTAAACTATAATTCAGTGTAATTATAATATCAAGGGATGACAAAGTATGATTGTAGTATCATCTAGATATACTTCCAGTGTGTTACGGATTGTGTCTAATTAGATAAAAGACAAAATACTAATGTTTAATACAAATGCATTTCGTTTTAAATGTATTGCAAACAGCCTCACCATATATTACTTATTACTTAAAGGCACAAGCAATTATTTTATACACAGTGCATTTTCCATATGTGCAAAATATTTCTAATATCTTACATTTTATGTGTATGTTAGTTCATGAAGTGATATATTGTCATTTGCTGACACTGCAATAACTATAATTAGTATATTACATTAATAACTAGCCTATATTCTATACAAAAACAAGACTCAATTGTGAGAAGCCAACTCCCACCTAGTGTACTATTGTTATGTCTTCAACCTGTGAACAACATCTACTGCAGAGGGGGGAGGTGTCACACCAAGGAACAATTTGTTGCCCACATTTAAAAAACCTTTCTGTGTCTTAAACTTTATAGGTCCTGACGATTAAAATCCAGCACTCAGTCTTTCTTATGCCCTCGAAAAAATACATTTTTTAATGACTTATATTTCCTACTAAGGGTGACATGACAGTTATTATGTTCTGCACCCCCCTCCCGATGCGGTTGAATTTGGTACGGTCCATAATGTGAAGCGGCACCGTCCCCCTCACGTCAGTTTATGGTAAGTCCGTGTCCACTCCTGCTATACCGAAGGCGTCTATCGGCTTTATAATCCGCCGTGTGAACCGGGATGCTGGGGGGGGGATCCATAAAGCCGTGGGCTCCTGGGCATGGTTCTGTCACCACCAGGAAATGAATGTTGTTTAACCCTCGTCTCATTACCAGTGAACACGCAGCAGTACTGTCCGTATGAGAGAGAGAGGCTCCTCTGTTGAATTGTAGCCGTTTTGTTTGAAATTCTTTGACGGTTGAGCAGCAGAAGCAGCCACAGGGAGCAGAACCAACAAGCCGCGGCCGCTTGACAGGTGCCGTCGCCCGGCTCTGCGTGGAGAGATGCCGCCCGTCCAGAGAACGATGTCTGATCTTCGTACCCGGGCGGAAGGTGTGTAATAATAATTTTATTTCGTTGCCTGTTAGAGGAATGTTTAAAAATCACGTTTTACGGCTATTTCCTTGTTACTGGAAGAAGGCCGGCCGGTAGCTTTCTACAAGTACAGTAACGTTAGTGTAACTTACTAGCTATAGCGGTGATTAACGGTGCCCCGACAGCGGTCAAGGAAACCCCGGGGGCCTTGGGAGTTTACTGAAGGAGTCTCCAGGAAATAACTCCTTCAATTCCTATTTAACTTATTACAATAAAAGTTAGAGACAAAGTCTGCTGTCATCTCCATGTCTGTAGATAAAACTTGGACTTCTTGGTTTCTTGGACAAATGCTTTATCAAATGAGTGTCTGTAGTCTGCATGAAGCTTCTGAAAGTGAAACTAGTGCAGGGTGCACCTGACCCATCCTGACTGGGATAGCCCCCCTACCCCCTCCCCGCCCTTAGCTTCGTCCTGCCCACCATAAAGACACCATCATGGCAGAAGGCAGAAGTTACTAGGATTATTGCAAGCTGATGTTTGGTGACAGTGGCCACAAGTCTTACAGCACAATAACAAGTGTCCAGCAAATGGCATCTACAGTAGTGTGGGTCTCACAATACAGCCATTGTGATTCTACCGGGACCCTCACTCCTTCACTGCACCAGTAACTTTCCACTGCATCTCGCTTGTGTTTGCCAGGGAAAGAGGATGCAGATACATTAAGTTACTTAAGTGATTTGAATGCTCATAAGGGGATGTGTTTACTCTAGGGCTGCTTAGTAGGTTGGGTGTTAGGGTTTGTTTGTTTATCCAGGCGAGCAATGGCGGCTGGACACATACAGGCGTATTACTGGCTGCTGATGCACACTCCTGTAGGGTTTATGAAGTCTTAAAATTCCTCCAATCACTTATTTGTGGCTGTCCCTGACCTCTGACCTCTCTGGACTGGAGGCAAAATATATCTGCAGGGATCAATAACATATTGTATGGTATCTTATTATTTATGGTACGTACTGCAGTTTGTGTTTCTCTTGCCGTGGTTTGGTTTAGGGTGGCTTAGGTTTGATTTATAACTGTGGCAGGGGCTAATATCTCAATCTGAGTTATTACTGTTGAGTATATTTTTTGGCTGCTGGAGCAAGCAGCTTGGCCTCTTAAAGTGAATTATAAGGAACTTATTCTCATTTGTATTTTATATACTTCTAGATAAGTTGCTCCATAAGTCAAAATGTGGGACATAAGCGCACATTAACATGCATACCTAATATGTGCTTCTCATTAAGGCTGTTAATAAAATGTCTTCAGTAATGCACAGCAAGCCATCTGATTTACTTCTAGTAATGCAGTAACTTCACTGCGTGAGACACTTTAATTGTTGCATATGTGTTCATACAGGAAGTGTTCCTCTTAACTTCCTTCATTCAAATAGCTAGGACTGTGGAAAATGCATTTTTAAAGAAAGCTGCAGCTGAGGAGAACAAAACTAAAAAATATTGGTCATCCATATCCAAGATATAACAACATATGATTTGTTAATTACATTTTCATTTGTTTAAGGTGTAAATCACTATTCTTTTCATAAAATGTGACAATTCTTAGCTAGTTCTAAATGGATAAAGGAAATACCCATTTTATTCTGCATCGCTAAAAACGTATGAGATGACTGAAGGGAGACATTTATTTTTTTATGTTTGCAAAAACTTTACATGTCAGCATTTTTCAGAAAACCTTGACATGATTTATCCACTATTAAAAAAAAAAAGAAGAAAAAAATATGTCAAATCAGGTGCAGCATTAACACTTAATGTGGTCATGATATTGAAGCAGAATTAATAATATTTGCCTAAATGACCGTTATTACTTATAAGATTTCAAGATTTAAATTCGATAGCCAATCAATAGGAATCTGTTTTTGTTGAGTCAGAGAATATTTATAACTCATAAATTAGTTATTACAAACAATTGTGCCCACTTTGTGAATATTGGTCATACTTTCACATATCCATATTCCCTAGATGTAGCCATTTCTTAAATACCGCAGTACTTTGTAGCACTATGTGACAAAACACATTACTTGGTAGTAAGATTGTCTTATTCATTTATGGCTGTAGGACAAACAGTTATAGATGATAATGAATTGATATCTGCTTGGAATGTCTAAAAGAAAAAATTGATTTAGAATTACATTTAATTTTAATTTCAATGATACAATTAGACGCCTGTATGCCAGTAAACCAATTGCTATGCTGTTTAATTGAGCATCCCCTGAAATTAATTCTTCTTTTTTTATGGTGTGAGCAGGGTGGATGTCACATCATCTTGTTGTAAGTGGTTGTGCTTGGTGGTAATTTTGTGACTTCATTTTAAAAGGCCACCTAAGAGCTGGTAATTATAAAGCAATTTCTCATCTGGTGCACCACAACCAGAAATACAGAGTTATTCCAGTGAAGGCCCCATGCATCCTCCAGGGCGAAATCTAAATAATTTAATACTTATATAGATTCCATAGAAAACTGTGGACTAATGCGGCACCTAGTCACTAGGGCAAACACATGAATTATGCAGCAGCTATTGCTGTCACCCCCCAAACTACCATACACTACTTCTTTAGGTTACAGAGAGCAAATTTAATAGTTTAGTTTCTCACTTGGCTCCATAACACTATCATCCCCCTGCTTCACTGAAAACAGTATCATGTTTTCTTTGCAAGCATCTTCTTGAATGCTGGATTCAGTCACCTACTGTACCGTGCCAGGTAGATGACCTACGCTGCTGCTCCAACATCAACATTTCCAGCCTCTTAGCTCCATATCTTGTTAACGAGAAGTCCGTTCTGCAACATTTCTTTTGGCTGCTTTTATGAGAGCCTAAGCACTCTCCCCACCCTTCAGTTTTATTTTTTAATCACCACATTGCATCAGGCAGGCTTCCATCTAGAAAGGGCAGCCCTCTGCCAGGCTTACCACCTAATCCATCAGTGGCCTGTCCGTCAGCTCTACATGCTGCACACTCCCCAATCTTGCCCACCACGTGCCGCTCCACTCCTTGTCACTCTTCTCCACTGAGCTGTGGAAACATCCGACATCACTGCCAGCCTGTGCCTGCATGTGTTGCCAAAATAACCTTATCTAGGACACTTGGGGTACAGGTGACGTCAGTAACTATCAGCGCGTTTAATGTGTGATTCTGTGATGACAGATACAAATTCCTGTGAATGGCGCCTTATACCTGCTCCCACTGTCTAGATGGGAAAGCTGATCGACAGAAGCCACGCAAGTTAAGGCTAGGCAGATGACAAGAAGCATCCCGTTTGCCGTCTTAGCTTGCATGCTTATCTGCAGACAGACCAAATCCCTCTCACAGTTTACACTAAAGGTGGAGATAGGCGGGTAAGCCTGTTCTGTGAGGATGAATCTATCAAAAGACCAAATGCTTGTCTTTTCGTGTCAGCTGATTCACATGATAGAAGGTGCTCTTCAGCATCTGATTGCCCGCACACTAGTTTTAAATGACACAAACTAGTCTGCTTCTTCTTTGAGCATTATATTGCTACCTTTATGCCATTCTTAAGGTTTTTTTCATGTGTGTGTGAAGCAGGATGTTTCCCCGTAGCATTTCAATAACACCAGCTAAGCTTCAGTCTGTCTGAATAGTGGTAACAGCATGGGGAGGGAGACTGGAGGGGGATAGACTGCTCCCTTCTGAAGGGATCGAGAGCTGCCCATGTGCCTGGCGGATCACTGGCTGATAATAATGTGGCACAAAAGCCCAACACGCCACTAAATCCCCTGTCTGGGGCTGCTGGTGTGTCATATCAAGTCCCCTTGGGCCTCTCTACTCTGTCTATGTGCTGGCATGGGACATCTCCTCTCCTCTATTTTCCACTTAATGTGCTGCCTCCATCACTAACCTGCAGCCACTCGAAGATGTGTTTCTTCAGATACTCAATTTCCCTACCCTCAGTGATTCTCCTCTGTCTGCAAAGCAAAGTAGATGTGGCAGGTCATTGTGAGGAAGGGGAGATTTGAAAATGCTCATGTGCACGGAGATGGATGCAGAGACAAAGAACCTCTTCTAATGTTTGATCATGCGTGTTGTTACATTGACCTGAGACAAGGAAGATCCATGAGCTGATGAGGGAGAACTTCAGTGTCACAAGGTTTGTAATTGTTCTATTTAGGGCTGCAACTGATTTCTTAATTTCGTAACCAATCGGTTGATTATTGTTTGGAGTAAACAAAACATTTCTCCGTGGCCTTGGGGTTAAGCAACTCATCTCGTATGTAACGTCCCATGTGTTTGTCTGGCCTGGCCAGGGGCTTTTTTTGCATGCCACACTCCATCTCTTTGTACCCTAATTTCATATCTCTATTGTAGGCTATCCAATAAAGGCATAAAATGCCTCCCAAAATAATAAAAATTAAAAAAAAGTATTAGTTTAGTCAGTAAAAGGTAAAAATATAGTGACATGCTTACTGCATGTCTGACATCACATTACATCTAACAGCCAATGGTGGTATCTTCAGTGTCTACCCAACAGTCCAAAGCCCAAAGATTTCAATTTGATCCTAAAATAAAACATAGAAGAGCAGAAAATCCTCACATTTAAGAATCTGGAACCAGAGAATAATATTAATATTTATTTTTTGCTTGATTAAACAGCTGTGGTTATCAAAATTGTTGCTGAATAATTTTCTAACTAATTGATTATTGTGTTTGCTGTCACAAAGTGTGTTGCTCTAGATATATCATCTACCTAGCTTCTTGACAAAACCTGAAGAACAGTAAAATATTATGGCACTATGGATATTTCTTCTTATTACATGATAAAAACATTAGTTACAACATGATTGCCTTTATTCCGCTTTAAAAATTGTGGAAGAAACTTGAGAGCAATTGTGCAGCTGTAAACTCAAATACTGTAATGTCTCTATGTCCTGACTGGTTCAGGAGTCCTTGAACTATCAGTTTTCTGGAATTGATTAGATCGTCTGATCTGCAGGTCAGCTGGAGATCCT